TAGCTTAAAGCACTGCAGACTGCTAACCCTGCCACTGACCTGGGCACAGCTACAGACAGACACATGCTACTTTATAATATTAACTAATGGTGTCGCCAACCACTTTATTTTACCTGCCAACGATAAGCATAACTGTGAGGGCGTACCAGCTGTTTTTTGTTGCTGTTAAGTTGAGACTAATTAATCAATAGTTGATCTATTTTCTAGTGGATGTTTTGTAAGTTACTGCTTCTTTTGAACTGGATAATAATGTGTTGAAATGCTATGATCAAATCATGGTCTCCTCTAATCAAAATGATTCAAAGCAGAGTGTAATTAAAGCTTACAACATGAGTTCTGTTGGAAAAGCTGGAAATGCTGAAGTCAGTGTTCACAGGTAAAGAGACAGAGGCAGCCTGACACTGTGCTGTGACACCTGAAGGCACCTGGTGTGCAGCAGAAGTTCAACTGTGGCACTGAACATTTTCACACCTAATAACTTTTGGTTAGTGATCACATTACAACAGAAAAATGCATCTTTACTAAAAAGGAAAACAGAAATGAATGCCTCAAGAATCTCATTAGGAAAGTGGTTTAATTAAATGTCGACTTGATGACCGATTCAAATGTCGTTTGTTTATGTAATTTATGTTTTAACTTAGTCTTACCTCATTGATAACATTCTTTAAAGCCAATACTGGCCAAAAAAATATGAAGTCCTTCTTTCATAATATTTGTAAAGACTCTCAAAATGATTCGAATCAAATTTACTTTCACCATAAAGGTCTATGGATGAGCACACGATATCGAACCTTGACCAGGGCAGAACACATGTGGGGCTACACCTGGCTTCAGCCAACAACAGCTCCTATCGTAAGTGGTAATTCTATTGAGTGTTATTGATGTTTACATTACACCTTGTGTCTGATTACCCACCTAATTTTTAAAACACTGACAAAAAGTACAAGATAAAGAGGGATAGAGAGAGTGAGAGTATAATGGTGAGAAAGAGAAAGTGAGAATTACAGAATCTTAGAGAAAATTTGGTTTTTCATTTTTGTGATGTCCTTGTATGTAACTGTGTGTGTGAGATGTCTGGAGCTACAGTTGTACTTTCATTTCTCTGTGAACAATGAAAACCAGAAACTATGGCAGCAGGCTCACACATACAGAACAAAGGTTTCTCAGGTAGTAGTACATCTCATTTAATACAGTCCCTCTGTCGTGGTTTATGATTACTGAATAACACAAGCCCAAGCACTGCAGTGATATATAGTATTACCACTCCGCTCAGCCTCTCTGTCTAACTGTGCTCATAAAGGTGTTGCACACAGAGGAAAGAAGTCACAGCCGATGGATCCACCGTCAGTATTTTGGCATTTAGCTGAAGCTAGGTCACAATCTTTACATTAAACATGCGTCCAGTTTATTTCTCTGCTGCAGTCGGTGTGTTGTAGTGTGGACAGACCGCGTGGTCTCAAATTTTGGGCTGTACAAAGGTCAATATCTGCACAGAGGTCCAGGCAGACCCTTGTGGACTAGGACAGGTGATATAATTTACGTCACACGGACCCTCGCGGGCATGCGGATGTGGAAACCATGAATTGTTGGCAGTGCAGGTGATTTAGGGTTGTCAGTACTATCCATCTGTCAGTGAGTCCTGACAAGATAGCAACAAACTCTGGCACCATATTTAAGAATTTATATAGTGCTTGTTAAATCATGATTTCTCCAGGTTTTGACAGGACAAAACTTTTTCCAGTAATTAATGAATATTTAGAATTTAGTTGGAGGAGTTTTATTTAACACTGACATCCAGTCATGGGAATGTAAAACCTACAGTCTTTTTAAGGAATTACTTACTATTATTAGTGGCTTCTTTAAACATGTTTGGAGCCGCTAAAGACCAGAAACATACCTAAGACTGAGGAGACAAAGTTCATGTCCTCTGTTTTCTTTCTGGGAATTTGAGCATTTTATCACTTTGAAGTTTACAGTTTCTATTTTCATTCGTTTACAGTAGATCATCATCAGTGCTTTGACAGGTCCTGCCTCACTTACAATCATGGATAAATCTCTCCTTCACCTTAGAAAATATGTGTGGAGAGGAGGGAAAGTGTAAAGCTGCCCTCCAGCTGTCTGAGAAGTGAAATAATTGATTCAATCAACGGTTGGAAAAGATCTGTTTTTGTTTTGATTCTGATTTTTGCCGCCAAAATACAGTGTTGGTGAATCGTACCATCACAGTAAACCAGTAGGTTCATGAAGCCTGTTTGATGTCACCTGGGTTTCTGCGAGTCACATAATCACATCTTTTGAACAGGTCCCAAATCTTTATCAGACAAATTAATAGCTTATTATTCTTATGAAATGTAGTGTTTTTGAGACTTTGAGCACAATAATGTCATTCTTAATAATACTGATCTGGAGCCCTGAGGAAAACAATTACACATTAACAATACATTAACAATACAATTTACAGAAATTTTACTTTGTTTGTAAATAATGAAAATGTGAAAACAATAAAATAAGTATGTTTTTGGTGTCTGTGATCCAACCACAAATGTCAGTGAACATGATAATTTAGCTTTTTTTTTTTTACCGCCTGTGCACACCATTGTACATGACCTTTTATTGACAGGTTCGGTTTTCCTGTGGCTGAAGAAACAGATGCTACATCTGAAAAGCAAGCTGTGCTCATGATCTCAGTATTTCTCAATCCCTGGCTACGGCCCAGACTGTGGCTCAGAAGTAGCATTGTTTTGTCCTCTCATTTCAATGTGGTAATTAACCAAATTAAATCTTATTTTCGATGTGATAACTGCAGTTTTGTGCTCGCCGTCTGTGGGGCTTTGACAGCTGACTGCTCGAAAAAGCTCAGATGTGTTGTAACAAGTGCGTTTCCCTAAAGAATGGTTACTATTAATAAACTGGGTCAAACAATCATTGACAACAAGAACAACACAAAAACAGTCAGCTTACATGACAACAGAGACACAATTCATTTTCACGGTCACAGATGTAATTAGCCACGGGATCAATGAAACAATTCAACATACGTTCATTATATAGATACACATAATGGCTGTGTTTGGATTTAGAAAATATTGACCGGGCTGTCTAACTGTTAGCGTTAGTTAGCTAGACCGTAAAAAGCAGTTTTTAGTCCTCCACAGCTAGCGTAACGTTATCGATATTCAGCTAACTGTTAACGTTAGCAGCTGACACGAACTCGTACAGTCTGGTGGCTGTTAAGATACAAACACAGCCTGTTGACTGACACGTCTTACCTTATAATAGACATCGAACTGTATGTTTTCCGGGAGCGAACGTATGTCCCTTCTGGATCGGCTGTAGTTGTCCACCACAGCCGAGATAGCCGTGTTGTACAGTGTTTCTGGGATCCATTCGAGCTCCACCGCAGCCATGTTGTTTTCCCTCTCCAAAAAAACCCCAGCAGCTACAGCCCTCCCCAACTCTGCCTACATTAGCTACCTTACTGCGAATAAAGCGCGTCCTCCGCGAGTCCTCATACAACATTCACTCTGAGGCGAGGACACAAATATCCGTACTATCAGTAAGTCACCGCTACAACTCTAAAACCACTGTTTAACGTCCATCTTTCTCCTCCATCTCCGGTTATTCGTCGACCCTACAGCAGTTCCGTGCCCCCGTCCCGACGCAGACATTCACTGGCTGACGCAGTGACGTAATTGTGCAGTCGATGCAAAAAAATAAATAAAAACTAAAATAAATACTATTGTTATTGTGTTTATTCTCTACCTCTGGTGTTTCTTAAAGGGTTGTCATTTTACATAAGAATAATGATATGCACAGACTATGTCCATTCAAAACATGAAGAAAACAGAAATTCTGGTCAACGTCTCTTCAATATGTAAAACATACATAGGGGAAAGGAAAAAAGGCATTCATACATAGTAGACGTTTTCTTCTGTAGTTTAACAGGACTTTGGTCCTGGTGTCCTAAAATTGGGAGTTTGTGTGTAAAGATGGTCCCAAGATGGTTTTTCTGATGTGGACGCAAACATATTCAAATTACAGCTGAAAGTTATTCATTGTCACAAATGACAAAATATCACAGTCCAAATACTCACACTTTAGAAGAGTTGAATAATGTATCATGAGAGGGGTAAACCAAAAGCAGACAAAATGAAAATGTATTACACTTATATATACTGACACTTTAATAAAAAGGAATTTTAGTGTTTAAGTTTTAGTATTTGTTCTGTTATTTTGTTAATCAATACATAAAATAAAATAAAAACCTTGAATGTAACATGATTCATCAATTCATTCAAATAGTTTCATTTCAAATTAAAAAGTGCTGGAAAATAGAAATAAAATAATGAAAATATGACATTGTCGAAAATATGTGTATGTTATTTATGCTTTATTATGCAAAATATTTCCATCTCATCTTATTAAAACAATTTAACATTGAAAATGGAGGAAACAATCATAACTTCTGAAAGTTATGAGATACATATTAAAATATGAACAATACATGGAAACAAAATAAATACAATAAAAAGGAAAAAAATGCAACATAATAAATCAGGATCATTAAACCAAAATAATAAAAAGTATTTCAAAAAGACAAACTAAACTAGAGAGGTACCATGAAAGAAAAAAAAAGATTTTAAAGGAAATTATTTAAGGCCTTACAATTTTCTAGTGTTTGTATTGCTTTACTGTTCTTTAGTCCCTGTAATGAATCAACATTGTGCCCAATTATTATTTTGAATTGTTGTATATGCGGTTTCTTTTTAGTCCATTTGCATTGATGGATGTAGCATTTTCCATAAGTAAATAGAGAAAATATGTTTTTACATTCAATATCATTCTTATTTAAAAAATATATATATATAATAATATAATGCCTTTTTTTAATGAATAGTTGAACCAGTTAATATCGTAAAGACATTTTTCTCCTCTAGGGGGCAACAGCTGCATAGACGTGACACATGCACGTGCTAGAAGAAGACAAGCTGTGACGTCAGTGCGTTGGAGCATGCCTACTACGCTCGAACATAAACAAAGGCAGTACGCAGCGCTGGTATAAACTGTACTCTTCTGTCATTTTATATGCTAACAATACCTACAAATTGGGGAGCGACTTATTCCTGGAGCAATGGAAAATGCATTACTGATGCGAGTGAGTGTGTTTACCGACCAGGGAGGCAGGAAATACATGGAAGATGTGACCGAGATCATAGTGGAGCCCGAGCCGGGAGAAGACGAGCCGACGTCGGGTGAGCCAGAGGAAAGCGGTGAGGGGGGAGACTGTACGGTCAACTCTCCGGCGGTGCTCACGCCTCTGCACCGGACTGAAGAAACCGCGGCGTCCCCGGAGGTTCCAGATGAAACATTTGAACCTGTGCGAACGGAAGACCAAAGCTCATCCGCGGAAACATCTTCACCGGGAGGTCAGAGCCCAGCCAGCCGAGCTCAGCAGCAGACAACGGCAAGCCGTTCCCGCCGTTCCGTGGCGTTCTTCGCCGTGTTCGACGGTCACGGGGGTCGCGAGGCTGCGCAGTTTGCACGAGACTATTTGTGGGAGTTCATGAAGAAGCAGCGGGGGTTCTGGTCCGACTGCGACCGGGAAGTCTGCGCTGCTATACGGAAAGGATTTGTAGCCTGTCACCACGCTATGTGGAAAAAGCTACGTAAGTTTCCGTACACCATACGAAGTTATGACATTATGTTACCAACCGGGACGTTTTAGCTCGGAGTGTGAACCCCGCTCCAGACACCAAAACCAGACAGTCTGTGGCCTACACCCTAAAGTTTTCACTTGTTCATGAACAACAAGCACTGCTAGCTAACATTAAAAGCCGAATTCACCATCATATACTGTGAACTCAGTCAGCTGAGTCATTCTCATTGAGCTTAGTAGCTTTATAAATTGTCATATTTAGTATTTATTTCTGCTGCTATGTAAATACTAAATGATTTATGGGGCTAACAGTTTTAGCAAACAATAGCAACAAAGCTAACAAAGTTAGCACTAGCCGCCGGTTCAATCAAAACAAAGCGTAACACAGACAACCAGTCATCAGTTTACATTAAAGTATGTCCTCAAGTTATTGTCTGTAATATTGTACTTATTGTTTTTGACCCACTGTGTGTGTGTTTTCACATATTTCGTTATTACTCATTACTAAACTTACTATATAGTGTAGTAGCTAGTGTGTGTGATATGTGACACAGACACCAGTGTGTTCAGGTGGATATGCCCGGGCACGTCAGCTGCTTTACAGCTGTTGTCTACACACGGTGTCTATAAGGCGCATGTCTGACTTGGATAACACTGTAGAGACCAGCTCCAGCACAGACAGAGTCCAGTGAACTGACCCAACATTTTGCTGTGCTGTTAAATGTGTTGTTCAGTGTATAAGGGGCGTATAAACTAAGCAGTAAATGGTTATAGATCAGTAAAAATATTCATTTTCTGTCTTTCATTTTCTCAGCTGAATGGCCAAAGACACTCACAGGCCTTCCTAGCACATCGGGCACCACAGCCAGCGTAGTGGTTATCCGAGGAAATCGCATGTACGTGGCCCATGTTGGGGATTCTGCAGTGGTTCTAGGGATCCAGGACGACCCCACAGTCCCATTCATCAGAGCTGTGGAAGTCACGCAAGACCATAAACCCGAACTACCCAGAGAGAGGGAGCGTATTGAAGGTCTTGGGGGGAGGTAAGGCTTAATGCACAAGACACCTTCCCTCTGCATTTTATTTAAATACAATACAATATTAATGTTAGCTGTGTTCTCTGATGTAGCCTACTTGTCAAAATGTGTTATGATTTCTCTGCCACAGAGGCCCACATTGAATCAAACTGTCTGTCTGATGTTGGACAATTCAGAGTAAATAACGGGATATTTCTCGGAACAAAAAAAACGTTGGTCTAGTAACAGCATATTCATTCTCATGACTCGCCCCCCACCCCCACCACCACCACCACCACCACAAAGAATTGATTGTAACCAAGAAGCATCTGTTTTTAACAATAGTAAATCAAATGTTATCTGCATCAAAGGATACTCTTCTTTCTGCTGTCTGTGACATGTCTACTGATAAGATGTCAGAGTGATGGGCCTCTGGGTGGCTTGACAACAACCAGACTTTTATGCTTACACAACAGGGTGAACTCCATAGCTTTAAGGCTTTACAGTTGTACAATAAGTGGTGATGGCATTGCTGAATTCAGCTTTACTGCATAAGAAAATATAAAGACGGTGCATTTGATTTAGTCATGTTGTTGGGAATGTCAGCGATCGAGAAGTATTGCTTTAAAATCATATGAAGTCTGAGCAGTAGGGTCACTGAATCAGATATCAGTCTTGTGATTATAAACATGTGGGAAGTAAAGTGAACTCTTTCTACTTCTACTCTACATGTCAACGCTCCCTGTGACACGTGTACGAGCAGAAAAGCTGAAGACTTGGAATATATTTTCTGTAATGAATCCATAAACTATTTGCTGCATCTTCTACAGAAGTAACACTCATTGATTTGTCAGTGTAGTTTTGCAGGTAGTGACAGGAGGAAAAAAACAAATCGAAATGGAGCATAAGAGAGTTTTTTAACTGTCTGGATATTATTATGGGACAGATAATGTGATTTATAATAGTGTGTCTCATTATGTTTTGGGGAAAAAGATTAACAGCTGTCACTCTGCCAGATGTTTGTATTATTTTTGGGACCATATTAATTGCAACAACTAGCTACGGCTATGAGGAGGGGATATGTCTTTATTTTCTTTTCCTCAGTCAGTAGCAATGTCACAAGAAACTCAGATATCATGCAAAAAAACATATTTCTATGAGATATCGGAGACAACACAGAGATATTATGTCAGTTTTAATATGTATATTTCTGCTCTGACTTCCAGTTTCCTGCATTAAATGAATTAAAACGCATCAAAGTGGTAGTAGTGTGTTTTCCTTTCGTGTATCAGTGAAATGACATTATACTGAGTATAAAGAGTGACTTGAGTTGAGTTGCAGCAGCCAGGAATAATTTTAAAGCAGGATTAAGTCACCTTGATTTTAACCCAGTTTTTAACTAAACTATAACTAACTATAAATTAAACCTTTCTGTAAAAGTTTATCTTCTTCAAAGGGGTCAGTGGAAAAAGCCTCCAGAATAAACACATTTTCAACAAAAGCAGCATTTATCAATAAGATGTAGCAGTCTGCTTTAGTTTTAGCTGGATGTGCCTAATAAACTGGCAGCTGAGTGTAATCGTTGTTGCAGCACATCCATAATGTCTAAAACTATCTCTCTGTAATTTGTGGGTTCTTTGCCGGAAGTGATCACCCGTTTTTCTGTCCTCTCTCCTCCCGTCTCTGCTGACAGCGTGATCAAGAAGTCTGGAGTGAACCGGGTCGTCTGGAAGAGACCGCGGCTGAGTCACAACGGTCCGATCCGCCGCAGCACGGTCATCGACCAGATACCGTTCTTGGCAGTAGCCCGAGCTCTAGGTAAGAACAGCAGTAATCACAGTGAATAACCTGTTAACAAGGCAGCACTAATAAATGTGTGGAATAATGTTGTTATTTTTTCCTGACCATGATAAATTTACACAAAAAATTATTAAACATGAAAACTCTGAATTTAGTAAAAGCATGTTTAGGAGTTGTAGCTTATCATCAGAGATCAGAGAGTTCAGTTTTTAGTCGATGACTCTTGGTCTTCAGTCTAATTCTACGGACTCATCCATTCAGAAAACACTAGAATCAGAAAAAAACAGCCACTTTATATTATTGATCTTTGATTTATTTGCATTTATAAAAACTGTCATCTGGTTGATCAAATGCTTTTGTTTTCTTTGATCAAACTCTGCAGACTGCAGTTTATATGACAAAACAGACATCAGGAAAAGAAGCTTTACTTTCCTTTGCCTTCCACAGTTTTTTAAAATTTAAGGGCTTTGCACAGTTTATATATATATATATATATATATCCACTCCTGTATCGTTGGGGGTTCAGGATTGTACAGAATTTTGAAACAAGTGAAAGATAGGAAGGGAAGAAAATGTCAAACACTTCAACTACGTTTCTTTTTTATCTTTTATTTTATTTGACAGGGACAATGCATATTAATAACATTTCTGACAATATGCCAGAGTTAGCCCGAGAGGCAGGTTTTCATCTGTTGTCTCTGGGCCTGCAAGAGTAAAAACAGCACAAACATAAAAGCATAGAAGATTGGAGGACTGGACGACAGGAGTGGAAATGAATACAAACAAAGCTGCACTACATGAAGACAGAAAGACGAGCAACATGAAAACACCTCAGTGTTCTCGTGTTCACAAGTTTGATTTCTAATAAACTTCTCTGCACCAGGTGACCTGTGGAGCTACGACTTCTACAGCGGGGAGTTTGTGGTTTCTCCTGAGCCAGACACCAGCGTCGTGACCCTTGACCCCAGAAAACACCGCTACATCATCCTGGGCAGCGATGGCCTGTGGAACATGGTTCCACCTCAAGAGGCCATTTCCATGTGTCAGAACAACGACGAGGTGATGGTGAGTGAGACTTGTTTCTGTCATTATAGGTGAACGACCTCCTGTCCGACCCGCCTGGACTGTGGTCTGTTGTAGATTAATACTCGCCTCAGACGGCGTCAGCGTCAAAACAGGCTTCTGTGTTTCAGGCACCATGTGGAGTGTCGAGTGCCCGGCAGCTCGTCAGCCACGCTCTGCTGCGGTGGCGCCAGCGGATGTTGCGTGCCGATAACACCAGTGCCATTGTCATCGCTCTGCAGGAGCCCGGGACCTCCCAGGACACCCTGCACCACGAGGAGGTGCTTCTCGACCTCGCCAAGGTGTCCCAGTGTCCCCCCGCCTCCATATCTCGTGCTGACACTCCTCTCCTCCAGGTGAGGGCAGGGTGACGAGAAACGGTTATTGTTTTAAACTCAACTGTCTGTCCACCGTCTCAGCCATTATGCTGCCCACTGCTGGAACCAGCTGCCAATGGAGATCAGATCAGATCTGCCCGAACCATAACTGGCTTTAAAAAGAAGCTAAAACTGCTCTGTTCTCCTCTGCCTTCATGTAATCTTTAATATGGCACTTTAATGAGTTATTGTCTTTTTTATAATTATACAGTTTTATACAGTTTTCTTATTGTGCTTTCACTTCTGTTTTTATGTTTCTTTTATTTCTGTTAAGCACATTGAATGACCTCTGTGTATGACGATGTGCTATACAAATAAATTTGAAAAACGCTGCCAATCAGAGGACGCCAGCTCCGCCTGCAGTATGAATTAGGGCAAATGAGCTCATTTAGAAAGTTTCCATTCCCACAGCTGTTCCTTGATAAATCTTTTAAACACTAGTGTTTAAAAACCTTATTTGACCAAATTCTAAAGGTCATTGTGATTTCATTGACAGCCCTTTAAGCTGCCGTTCCCTCTATTCCAGTTCCAATTGTTTTTATGTTGTATTGTAAAAACTGAAGGTTAAAGGTGAATTATCCTCATGTATAAGTGAAGTTTGTCATCCCTGTTTCTTCTCTTCTTCCTCTCCTGCAGCGACCTCCAGAGGAAGACTCTCCCTCTGCCGTGTGCGAGCTCCTCCCTACCCTGGAGCGACGGGACGGACTATCAGGAGGCAGCAGCCTGTACCACATGAATCTGTCTGACCCGTTTACTCTGACTCCGCTGTGTCCGAACAGCAGTGCTGAGCTGCCCAGTCAGTCCAGCCCCTCTGACAGAACAGCTGGCAGCAGGACGCCCAACAGCAAAAGAACTATTGATGGATCATCGCCATCATCGTCTTCATCGTCGTCACCATCATCCGGCCATTCGGCTAAGAAAGCCCGGCGCAGGACTGCCGACAGGCCGCCCCTGGTCCAACACAACGCAGAGAAGAAACAGAAGGAGTCCAGCAATGTGTCCCCGATTCTTCAGCAGCATAACAAGACCACAGTATGTGTGTACTGAAACACACACACACACACACACACACACACACACACACACACATATACATACATACATACATACATACATCAGCCTGCTGCCTCCCACTGTTTTCCTCGTCTCCAGTGGCATTCCTGTTCCTTATGTTTGCGACTCTCCTCACTAACTGTGCTCTACAGGTTATGGAGAGATTTGTCTACTTACTCAGCACCAGTAAAATACTTAAACTTAAGTTTGTTTTTTTTGTTTTTTTGTTGTTGTTTTTTGGACGAGTGCTCATTTTCATAAGACTTCCTGTGTCTTTGTTTCCTCTATGAAATACTGACTTCACCTCTTTCTGGTAACAGTTGTAAGAAGTACGTAATGATGCTGGCGTAAATATTATGCATTTTATAGTTGAGTATTGAGAACTAAGTCAAACTGTTCATTTAAAACAAATATATATTTTTTATATATTATTTTAGTGTCTAATAATAAAACATGAAAATGTCTTTTAGATGAGCTTTCATCTCCTCACTCTTCCCAGATACCATTGTGTGCACACCCTGTGTTTAAGCATATTTCTGTATTTTTATTATTATCATCATATTTAATCACTGGAGATTTGTCTTGAATATGAAGGTGCTGCTACAGTCACAAACCAGTAAGCTACTACATTGTGTATATTTATAGTTAAATATATGTAATAAGTGTGGGTAGCATGTTTTTTTTCTTTGCGAGTACATGTTTGACAGAGCACATCTGCCCCTGTGAGGTTTCCAATCAAGGAAGTTGTTGTTAAATTTTAATTGCACAATTAATCTGAAGGGATTAATCCTCTCCCTCAGTCATTTTACATTGTTGTGATTTGTAATCGCTTCCTGTGAGCCTGCTCCACACACTCATACATCAGGTATGATTTTTTTTTCTGTTTCTGAGAATGCCTTTCAGCAGCCTGAAGCTTTTGCAGGAGTGTGTATGTCTGTCTCTATTATGATGCATTTACTGAACGTCAAGGGGGCTCGAAAAACAAACATTTCCTGTGGTTCGGAGTTTATGTTTCTGATTATTTAGTGCTGCCAGACTTCCATTGTGACTCCACTGGAGGTATTAGTGATGTCACCTTGTCTGTCAGCCACACATGTACGGCAATAAGAGAAATGCTCCATCACAAACATGTTGGTCCCGACAGACAAGGACTGTCTCACACCACCAGTCTATCCTGCCACCTTATTCAGATAACAGCTGTTGGTTCTGTTTCGTTGAGGCAGGTCGAGAGGTTTCCAGAACATTTTCTTATACAAGCCATTGTCCCTCCACGCTGCACCTGCAGTTGTATCGTTACTGATGTATGCACAAGGCTCATTTGTGAGTAAATACACTCTGCATGGACTTTCTAAGAGAATATTTTTGCACTATTACGGTGACTATAATCTTTGAGGAAGAAATGTTTTCTTTTTTCCTTTGAAAATGATGTAGTGAAAATTGGAAGAGATGATCGGAGTCTAAAACGAAAAGTTTCAGGACAAATAATCAGATTATTTTAATTTAAACAAAAAGAAGGGAATCCTTATTAATCTGAGTAATTTTCAGAACATGGCTCTGCCCTCTTTTACCTCTGATGTTTTTCTTACATAACAGACAGTGTATGATTCAAATGATAAATATTCACTGCGAGAGAATATTGACCATGACACAGATACGACACACGTCTTAATCTTTGTAAAACCTTGTTACATTATGATGTATTTTCATTGAGCTAAGTGCAATTTCTAATAGGAATTTGTAGCATTATGAATTGGTTAAAAAATATTGTACAATATTGATTGACAGTGTTGGAGGAACGATAATGCTCATGTGTGACATGTTCTCTCTGCAAATACAGTCTCTTACTTTGGATCCCTGTATGATTTTTATATACTATTTTTGAGAATATTCATTTACTCTGTTGAATAATGACATACCTGATTTAGATGGCTGTACTGACAGCAGACAAGTGCATGTGTACAGTGCAAATGTGAAAAACACTTACCTGGAAATAAACATATTTAAATAAAAAGTTGAAGTTACTGTGCTTTGCAAGAGGATAGTTTCTAATTCTTAACACCTTCTGCTTGTTAACTGATTAAATTATAGAATAATAGCTCACAATTGTCTTAAGCTGAGGACATCACTTAGTTTGATTTGAATACTCAAGTTTTTTCATAACATCAATATTTGTTTTATCAATTTTTCATATTTTATTTATTTTTATTATGTGCCTGTAATGCAATAGCATTGAAGGCATATATTACTATCCTGCATACTTATTCGACTTATTCATCTTCCGTATCGACATTTTGGCACTTTGAAAAAACCACACAATATATATATCAATAAGTATATAAAAATGGACGTCAACGCTGGGTCTGGAAAATGAAGCCAATGCGTAAGTGCCTTAAACATGCATTCTATTGATCGACCATCAGGGGGCGACTCCACTGGTTGCAAAAAGAAGTCTATGTATTGAAGTCTATGGGAAAATGACCCTACTGGTCACTTGATTTGTTACCTCAGTAAAGGTTTTCGTTATGTGTTTATGGTCTGAATCTCTAGTTTGAAGTTTTCTTCAATACAAAATGATGTTATTTTTTTTAAATTATGGTCCTATTTAAAAGAAAATAGATGTTAAAGCAGAGTGGCTTTAAGGCGTGACTACTGCCTGATTGACACACAGGGGGACCTGCCTGATAATCCGGATATGAGGTCAGAGCAATGTGTCGGACATTTGATTTGTCATTGTGTTTTCAGTTCATCAAAGTTAGCTCCAATATGTTGTTTGCCTGAAAATGTCTTGTTCGGCTTCCAGTTGTTCTATAAGACACTCAGAGGAGTCGGCGGTTCAGTTTTTTCCCGGTAAGTACAAGCCTATTTCTTTGCTAGCCAAAATTAGCATCCCTGTTAATGTCACAGTTCAGGTGAAGATGCACCTTGCTAACCAAGCTAGCCAGCTAGTGCTAGCGTTAGCTGATAACTTAGCGATTGCTATGCTAACGGTACCTGGCCCCGCTGGGCTGATAACCTGTGTCAACCTGGGTTAGCCCGTGGAGGTGTTCAGTCAAAGCCCAATAAAAAGGTGAATTTAATCGACGTTAATCTAACGACGTTTGGTTTGTGTTTCTCCACATGTGACCCAGTTTAAGTGATCTGCGTTAGTGTAATGCGCAGCGTTAATGTTGGTTAATACATTGTCCATCAAGACGTCGTGATAGTTCAAGTTAAGATAACGTGACGTATACAAAATGTTTAGACAAATATTTGTCATGTAGAAGATTGTTCATTTAATACTCAAACCAGTCCTCAACTGAAGCAGACATTCATGCACCTATCCTGACAGCTGATCGATATTTGTGATTAACTGTGATCCACCGCATCTTAACTCAAGTGTTTGTGTTTTATTGTCATTTGAAAGGTTTCCACACTGTGAAAACTGAGTGATCTGTGCCAACAGAAGGAGGACCTCATGTACAGAGCAGCCCATTTGTTTCCATTCATCTGGTTGTGGAGAAGGGAGACTGCATGGACATCCTTAGTTCTCTAATGTGCTGTGATGATGATGATGGTAGAAAACCTCTCCCAGTTCAGCTTCCTCTGATGAAATGACAGACTAACTGCTGATGAGTTAGTTTATTAATCTGTCTTCAGTATTCACAGGTTCAGTTTCTTACCTGCAACTTCATTCTGCTGCTGTTGTTGACAGGTGATGGTAGCAACACTTTTAAGATCAGAATTTATAAATATTAAACTGTGATTAAGTGACGGATCATCTCTAGCACTGTCACCACCTCCACAGGTGAAAGTATTTACCAATTAACATCAGCATGTTTTTTGATCCTTCATTGTCAGTGTTGTCAGACAACATTTAAATATTTCTAGTATTTATGTTGTTGATTAAAGCTAACATAGAAATAGTCACACAATGCTGTACGTGTTACTATTGTGAAAATTCATACCAGATGTGTTCTATAAAAACCATCAACAGAGTTAAAGCAAGAGCTTCAGAAATAACTTTATTGGACATTATAAACTACATGAATTTAAACAATTTACATCACTGGAAACATGTAAAAGAATAATAAATGGATTAATTAAATACTATAGTGTACAATTTACAATCAACTAACTATTTAAAATCAAAAAATAGTTGTGGATGAAGTTAAAGCTGAATTTCTCTGTCATATGTAAGTTTGTTTGATAAAAAGAAGTAGTTGAATCAACAGCAACAGAATCTTTAGTAACAAGTATAATCATTATTCATCATGAGTCCTAATGTGTGAGACAGTTAATATTAATTTGCTCCAGTAACAATCTCCCTCTAAATAAGTGATGCTGTTGGAACAGCACACTGATATTAACTATAATGGCTGAGGACTATGAAATATGAATCTAATGTTTTAAACTATTGACAATGTGTTACAGCTACAGTGGAGTCCAAAAGTCATGTGATTGTATGTCTGACGTGGGGCAGAGAGTGTAATACGACAGTGAGGGTGAAGGGAACAAGGAAGAGCATAGCTGATCAGACTGAACAATGTTATGGCCACAAGAGTAACATTAAAAAATACTATATTATCATATAAGACACTGTGTCTATGTTTGGGAAGAGAAGATCTTCATGTGTGGACACTGCAGGTGGAGGTGGTGCAGGGCCTCCATCATTGCTGCAAGAGGTTGTAGGTGTCCCCAAAGATCCAGACCTTGGCTGTAAAATAAGAAATGGATTTGTCAACATGTGTCATGATACAGAGCAGAAAACTCTGGTCAAAAGTTCCCACAGTGACACTGAAGTTACAAGGATCAAACTTTGTACTTGTCAGTGTCACACACTGGAGCTAGCCGCCGTTTTCGTTAGCATTAGCATTTTTTTTTTTTTTAATCTTTATTGGTCAAACAGAACCGGGGGGGGGGGCTAGCTTGCTAGCATTAGCAGCTAGCTTGTTGGCATTTTTCATTGATGCATGTATTTAACAATTTTATAAGATTGCTAAACAAGTGCGAGGGCTAGCTAGCATTAGCAGCTAGCGTTAGCATTTTTTTTCTATATTAGTGACAACCACACAGAATAATTGTAATAAAAAAAAAAAAAAGATGACATTGATAACAAGTATAAAGCTAACAATGATATATAATAATAACTGTTGCCAAGGTGATCCAGAGGATCTCCTGGGAGGAGTGGAGGCTCCACTGTTGGAGGAGGACACATGGGGCAGAGGAGACGGCCCTCCTCATTCAGGATCTCCACGTCACCCTGGACGTCCCTTTGCTGGATTCTCTCTGCATCCAGGACATATGGAGACACAGAGGAGCCACCAGCTGCATTCAGGACCCTGCAGGTGTGCAAACGGGCCAGTGTTAGCCGCCTGGTGGAAGCCGTTTGCAACCAGCTCTGCCGTCTTCACCCAGTAGCCACGTGGTCCAGAGGGCCGTGAGGACTCGGTGGTCATTCATTCTCAAGGATCATGTGGCATCAGAGAGGCAGTGCTGGCCGGCCCCAGGTTGATGGCTCAGACCAACATCCAGCTCTTTGAATTGAATTGAGGACTCAGTGGTAAGAGTTTGTCATAAAGCTGTTGGTGTGTTGTAATCTGTTCTGTGATTTATCTTTTAATGAAAGCTGAAAATCCTAAAACAGTCTGTGTTTGTCTGTGTGTTCAGGTGCTGGCCAGACTCTCCCAACAGCAAAGGGTCTGTCCTTGGTCCAGGTGGGACAAGGACAGACCCTTTAACTTCAATGTCCTGGAGGAACAGCCTGGGCCCTCCAGCAGGGGTCTGCCCCCTCCTCCTCCTCCAGACGATGAACAGCATGGCCCCTCATCCAGTGCTGTTGGTCCTCCCCTCGCTCCAGCACCACTCCCCTCCTCTGTTCATCCACCTCCTCTGCCTGGACTACCTGTACCCAGGACCAGAGCCTACAGGAAGAGGAAGGTGACCTGAAGCTGCTGTGGCAGAGCGGGGGCCGCTTCCTGGAGGAAAAACCCCTCCGGCTGCCAACATCATACATCTGCAGCAAGTGTGGCCAACCCAGAAGGATTGACACTGACCTCACTCACATTGCAGGTGTGTCACACTGTGACTGTTGGTGGAAAGACTGTGGAGGGAAGAGATGAAGAGAAGACAGGAGGACAACTTCTTCTATCTTCATTTATAACTTTTAACTGACATTATTTGTAATTATTTGATTAGTTGCAGTTGGAGTGGTGTTTGTGTCAGCTGATGTCTCATGATGATCTCAGTCCAGTGTTCCCTCTCTTTTAGCTCTGTGTTTGGTCTCCACCAGCTCTTGAGGGAAATCTGTCTCTTTAGCTTCTTAATGCTCCACTATGTTCAGCAGCTGCTCTCGGACCGTGTGTCTGCTGTTTGCTGCTGAGGAGGTCGTGGACAGCGGCTACGACCCAAGAAGTTTATATATTCAAAGATGACAAAGACTTTTACTGAACTGTTCTTTTTTCTTTTCTTTTAATTGTACTCTTAAATTGCGTTCACCATGGCCGTAAGAAGGTCTGAAAAACTCTAACACCAAGATGGAAAGTTAAAATGAGCGCAGTGCAAAGACTGGACACTGACTGTTTCCCTGGTAAAAATGTTGTAAATAGTTTCCATTGGGATGGCCGTAAGAAGGTCTGAAAAACTCTAACACCAAGATAGAAAGTTAAAATGAGCGCAGTGCAAAGACTGGACACTGACTGTTTCCCTGGTAAAAATGTTGTAAATAGTTTCCATTGGGCACAATGCTGTTACTGTATGTAAAGATTCATTTGTAATGTGTGCTTTCTTTTATTCTCGCGGCTCACATCATGTGCTGTGGTGCAGTGGATGGATGGGCATTGGTTAAGGAAACTAAGGTCATCACATGACTCACTGTCACAGGGTGAGGAGCCCTGGAGAGAGATCATCAGCTTCACCGGAACCTAAACTTCTATTAGTAAGTTATATGATAAGTTTATGGCGCTGCAGTGACTCACTGTCGCCTCTTGAGGAACAAAGTGGTGTTACAAGATGAGACGGACAGTTCAGGACTTCTAGCAGCAGTTACACAGTTGACCTTTTTAAGGCAATCTGCAGTCACTTATTTCTGCCCCATTAACCCCATTACCATTCTGTTCAAAGGAATGCATTTTATTAAGCGTTGCTGTATATTGGGTAAACTTTAAATAAAGGGCTGATTTGTTTTAGCATTTGTAAGTGTCCTTGATTTTTAGTTTTAATTCATATAAACAGTATGTATCAGGTGAACCTGGATGAAACTTATGCAGTATAATGGAACAGGCCTGCAGTAAATCCTTCATGAGGATTATAATGTTCAGTATTTACTGAATCTGTTTGAGAAGTGTTGGTTTATTTTAATGGTCATTGTGGAGGCTGTAATTGTGGTAATGTTTAAGTGTACTGGGATATACTGGGAAGTGTTCCTAATATTTTGTCAAATCTAATTCCTATAAATGGGATGGTCAAAATATTAGGAACACCTCTCAGTATAGGGTTAGTTTTTATACAGTGGTGTCCAAAAGTCTGAGACCACTTTCCCATGTAGCCTCACATGTTGCTCCATAGCAGCTCTAGTATCTTTGTTTCATTTAAAAAGGAGAATAAAAGGAGCCGTTAAAAACACTGAATAGAGTTCAGCAGGGTATCTCCATATGTCTTGAGTTGTTGTGTCTCACCTATTTCTCCTTGTGAATTTCAGGAGAAAAATATGAGAAACAGCATTTTAAACAAAATAGAAACTAAAGTGAAGCTGAAATGAGAATCAGAGTTTTGTCTCCTGAGCTGAAGAAGAGCAAAATTTCTTCAGGAATTTTCTAGTTATATATTCTTAGCGATTCGATTAACCATGGCAATGTAAATGCTGATGAAAGGTGAAAAAATTCCCAAAGAGAATGAATGAGGAGACGTCTTCAAAACGACCAAACCCAGCCCTCTACTTCAACACACACACACTTATTGACAGAAACACACAAACACCATCTCTATGATATGAATTAACCTTCACAATAAAAGTCTCAACATGGTAAGAGGGAATTTTTGGCTCTGTTGTACAAAACCTTATGCAATTTATACTGCCAAACACAGAAGCACTGACACTTTCAAAATAAGAGTCTAAGAAATTAACAGGTAAGGTAGGTCATAAAAGTTCGATCTTAGAAGCTATCGTCTATATGGGGATGTAGTGGTATAGCTTTATTGCAGATCAACCTCTGTAAGGGCATGTACATGTGTGTATACATGTCTTGCTGTGATTGTGGGGACAAATTTAGGTTTGAAACCCATCAGTGTGAGGTTATTTTGGCCAGTCGTGACAGTTTCAAAAGGCTTCCTGAGGGACACCAGACTCTTCATAGATGTGATGATGTGACCTCAGAGACAGATGTATTCACCTTACACTCTTTAGTGTGAACTGAACATTGAGTTGAGATTGTGAAGCAGTTGTCAGTGTAGTACAGCTCATGTACATTCGTTTTATTCATAACTTAATTGTTGTCATTGGGAAGGATTTTTAATAGATAAACCATCTGTGGTTAAATTATACTGAGTATGTTTTTTTCATATTTACCATCTGCCTCATGATGAATCTAACAGGTCACTTTGGAGAATTTGTGTTTTCATTGTTATTAACATTGATAAATACATAAAACAAATTAGAAAAGCACAAACTCTAGTATCTATCTCTAGATCCTGTATTGACACTGTTGAAGGACTGACACATTTAAACATTTCTATCATGTTTGTTGTTGATTAAAGCAACATAGAAAGTCTTGGGATTAATTACAAATTCAGTAAAACTTCAATGTGTTGTGATTTGTATACTGTGCTGCTGCTACTGTTAAAATTCATACCAGACACACTCCATAAAAACCATCAACAAAGCAAGATTTCACATTATGCATGATGCGGGTGGGCGTACTTGGTGTCCTCGGGGACACAGGTCATAGCCACCCCTCACTCCTCCCACGGAGTGAGTGATGTCACGGCAGTTTGCCACTTGACCTGAACGGGACCATGCGGATGTTTACTAACGTCACTTCCGTTGTGTTTTTGACAAAATATGGGCGTAAAAAATTGCTACTTACCACAAGTATTGGTGACATTATACACCAGTAAAATGTTGTCGAGTGAAGTCTATAGTCACCCAAAAAAAATTTCAGAGAAAATACATTGATGTACTCCGTATTCCGCGATGTTTCACAGTTAGGATTTTATTTTGAAGGCGGTTTCAGGAAGCCCTGTGGCTTCCTGTTTATTGCGCAGATGTGATTTTTGAGAGCGGGAAGAATCATAGGGAGAGGAAAGTTAATGGAAACAGCCTGGGTTCGTCTTCAGAGTCGTTTTAAATACTGTAAGAACATTTTCTTTTGTCCAGTGTTACCAGTTTAAACTGGGACCTGGATACCAGTGACAAATCAAAGTAACGGTGGAAAACTTAGCATTGGCGTTTGTTCAAGCTAGGTGGTCAACAATAACTAAGCTAGCTAACAAGTAACTGTCAAGTGTCATGTAGACACAGTGATACAAACAGGTCAAAATAACGTTGGTTAAACTGTGAAATTCTTCTAAATTGTGTTAGTTAAGTCGGTGTTAACCATGTTAGCTTGTGAGATAATCAAGTGCAGTGTTTAACGTTAACTGGGGCTAACGTTACACCAATATGTGGTCATATCAGGTTTATCAGACGTCCTGTTTTTTTGTTTTTTTTAGACATATTTCTGTGAAGCAGGGACAGGCACAGGGATAACTCTGTGGAGCCGAGGATCATGGCTACATCCCGAGTGGAATACACCATCGGAGGGGTGAAGATCCACTTCCCCTGCAAGGCTTACCCATCCCAGCTGGCCATGATGAATTCAGTGAGTAAACTGTCAACACAACAGAAACTTACAGTCTGGTCCTGGTGTTATTTATAGAAATCAGTAGTATAAGTAGTAATGTAATATTAATACATTTGTAAATCAAAATCTAAAACTGAATTATGAAGTTAGGAAGTTATATGACAATATTTGCAGTATGTGTGATTGGCCCATTAGTTGTCATTTTAGCCCTTTTAAAATAGACTGTTACACCCATGAGTCACTTTGGCCTTGGTACTGCTATTTTAGGTGAGTCTTGGTCTGTGCTGGACTCGGTCTTCATGCAACTTTGACCAATTAAGTTAGAGCTTAATTGAAAGCTCTAACTGGAGAATTGGTTCCTATGCGCTCCCACACAAAAGTGACAACTACAAGCCTTATATTCCCATTTTTATAAAGTTACATTTCTCCCATGTTTGTGCCTCTGTAACTTTGGTCAAGTATCTTTTATGCCAGTGGTTCTCAAGCTGTTTCACACCGAGAACCACGGACCCCCGGATGAAAAGATTTGTGCTTTTAAATGTTTTATTACAGAAAGTGTTTGAAACCCATGACAAAATAGTCATACATTCTGTCATTGTATTACTTATGGATGGAATTATAGTCAAAGAACCCCCTCAAAGACCCCTTGGGGTCTCGCAACCCCACTTTGAGAACCATTGTCTTATACTCTTGTGTTTGCCTTGTCTACAGATTGTACGCGGGCTGAACTATGGGCAGCACTGTTTGCTGGAGAGTCCCACAGGAAGTGGAAAGAGCTTGGCCTTGCTCTGCTCTGCTCTGGGCTGGCAGCGGGCTCAGCTGGGTAAGCCTGGTCTCACTAAGACCAACATATTTTTCTTTCTTGCCATTTTCTTGTTTGAAAATATATTTTGATCTTGTGTAATATGACCTACCCCATATTCCGGAGGGGAATTGTCTGAACGAATCAGAGTCAGATGTCTCAGAGCTTATCAATTTCCTTATCAATCCTGGCGTGTTTTTCTGACGTCAAACTTGTGTCGATGCTGCTGGAAACTTACAATAAGAAGGAGTCATGGTGGAGAGGAAGAAAGCTGCAGGACGCTTAGAAGATATTTTCATTGGCTAAGACAGAAAGAAATGTGAAGCTTTTGCACACCAGATTAACATGCACATGTTTTTCCTACTGGGTCGTGTTGACGCTGAAAATCTGTGTAGGCTTACTATTATTCCTACTGAAATTGATCAGGAATCATTAAGGGAATTGATAAAGAATCAGACCGACAAAGCAAAATTGAAAATGCCATTGATATCAGTAAAATTTTATCAATTCCCATCCTGACCCCATATGCAGACTGAGAGTCAGTGTCCCTGTCATATCTGTGTTTCCATGTGTGGTGACAGCTAAACTACAAGAAGGAGGAGGCACAGGGGACGACAAGAGCCAGTCAGATAAATATGCTGAAGACTGTAATAAGTCAGACGTCACCTCCGTCTGTCAGTGTGTGTGCCACAACAAAGCCTGCAGGCCCTCAGCTACACCAGCTACACCAGCTACACCAGCTACACCAGCTACACCAGCTACAGCAGCAGCAGCAGCAGCAGTTGATCCCGATGTTGTGGACCTCACTGAGTCACCATGTAAAGAGACGACACAGCTGCAGCCTCCAGCTCCTGGACAAAGTGAGTAATATCCATCACTAATATTTCTTGCTTTTGGATTACTGCTTAGTATAATTCTGTGTGTAGATTTGTGGGCATGCAATTTTGTAGGATGATAATTATCTATTAGATAATGATGAGCTTGTTTATTTTCTTTGTGTTTGTTGACTCACTTGTTATTATGTGTCATGTATTGTTTTATGTGTATTATTGTGTTGTGATGAGCACTGAATATGTATGGTTGTATTGTCAACATCAAACCTGTATAAACCCCAAGAAGAACAGCTGCTGCAGTGCAAAAGCTAATGGGGATCTTAATAAACAAACAAACAAGGTTTGTATAGGTGTGTACAGGAACAGTACGCTAATGTTGTTTTTGCATTGTCTAATTGTAATTAAGAGAAGAGATTGTAGGATACAGATAAGAGGCACTAAGCCATTTACACACTTCATTTCTGTTTTCTGTTTCTAATCCAAACATTTTTGTTTTGTGTTGCTTAGCGCCGTTACAAGACGAGTCTCAGCCCAGGAAACAGTCAATAGCCTCTCGTCTGTCTGAGAAGTTCCAGTCTGCTGCCAACAAAGACGACAACTTCCAGCCAGACAGGAAACGCATCCGCACTGCGGAGCACAAGGTAGTCATAGATGCTTTGTATATGCATTTATGACTTGAATTTAGAGGCTTGATGTATAAATTCTTGACCTCATCGCATAAAAATATAGAATAGTAATACCTGCAGTGGTTAGTGACGGTTCTCATACAGAAATGTTGAAGTAAAGTTTGTGTTTGTTCCTCAGGGTCGGAAAAGGCAGCGTCTGGAGAAGGGAGTGATTTTCATCGATGATGATCTGGAGCTGGAAAATGAGCCTCCGGATCAAAGTGTGTCGACAGAGACAAACAACCCTGCAGCTGGTTTGTTCTCATCATACAGTGTGAGTACATCACAGAGGGAGAGGCAGAGTGACACTATTCATCTGGTTCTACTGACACCATCTTTGATGTGGCTGTAGTGATATAGTTTAATTGATTACTTTAATATGGACAGGATAGAATATTTAGGCATGGTCCACCTGTATCATCATCCACTCACTCCAGCAAGAAAACTGGTTCCCAGTTTATTTATACTGGAAACCAAAAAACGTTATTTTAAAAATGTTAAATATTAATGGAAAATATTCATTATCAGCATCTTTAATACAAAATATTATTAACAAATCAAAGTACTGATTAAACCTTTTCACAGGAGTCATTTTTACCAGACAAAAGCTCAGGTGTATCTAATCTGGTTAATGATGTTGTGTTATGTGTCTCAGTTCTGTAGCAAGGCACTAATGTGTAACCTGGACACCTTAATGAACCACAGCCATCATTAATGTTATTAATTACACCTGTGCTTTTCCTGTAGTGACATGTCAAAATGAAAAGATCCTCTTTGTCCACTACTGAGACATTAAATAGAACAGAAGCATCATTAGCTGTTATTAGCTGCTATAGCTCGTCCTGCTGTAAGATGTTAAAATATCTGCTGTGGGAAAAGTCTGTTGAACCCGTTCAGTGTCTTTAAACAGAAACACAGACTGGATTACAGCTATTAATGGACTTGTTCTTATTTTATGGTTTCACCATGTCAGCAGTAGGTTCAGAATCAATATTCATCATCACCACCAGGTGGCGGTATACTCCACCTAATTGACCATGGCTGTGGTTAAAGTTTAAAACATGTAGTTAATGTGTGTTTGTAAAAACATGTTCGTTTTAGAAAACAAAGTATATAAATGATAGTTTAAGACAAACAGTATATTACACTATATCACCTTAAGAAACAGGAATATTTGTGTAAACAGGGGTCTGTGTATATCCACACAGGTTTTACAATTATATGTGACTTGAACTGTTTGTTGTATTTATTCATGTGATCATTTTCATGTCTTTTGTATGAAGTCAAATGATCTGTAAATTATTGATGAAGAGTCTTTTCAAGACTGACTTCTTTTTCCCCGTTATGGAAAGATTTAACGCAAAATAGTAAGATAAAAAATTATTACACCACATAGTTATTACAGTAGTTTACAGGTTCTGCAGTGATAGTTTAATTTCCTTCAGACTCAAAAGCACCAGTCCACAGTCACATTAATACAAATACCCCATTTATTTTAATGAGTGTAGAGACAATATAAAAAAATACCTCAATTTAACAGCATCACAAACTGTAGTCTCTAATGTGATCATAAAACTGGATCAAAACCAAAACAAACAGGACGGAGCAAAAGTTTGTGATGGATAAAAATCTAAGCATTTAAAGTGCTTAAAACATTTGCACAGTACCGTATATAACCTTCATAAAGGTCAGATTTTTTATGGTTGCAGTTTGATCGTTTACAATTCCTCTTTTTGTCTAAAATTGTCAGAAATTTAAAAAATCCAGTTATATTTTCTCAAATTTCTTGCTTTATCTTAGTTTAGCACTTAGTAAGTTTACCATCATATATAATCACATATAATAATGAAATGTTTTCTGCTGTAAGTTGAAAGTTTAGGTGTAGGATCTCGTATCAACCCATTGGAGCATTAAGAAGCAACCAAAGCAGGTGCATCAAGTAACACCGTGTTCTTAAAGGTATCACGATGCGGTTTCTGGTGAATTATCCATGTTCCTGAGTTCTCTGCAGGTCCCAAAGACCAACAGGTTACCCATAATCATTACACATGCTCAACAAATAAAACGCTGTCGCAAAGCTCACAAGAATGGCTGAACTCTCGCAACTGCGTCTAAACCTGCCAGGTGTGTGGCTTGGATTTAGAGCTGTGGATGACGGGGAGGTGGAAAAAGAGGAGGAGGGAAAGTGAAGTCGAAAAAGCGCATCCGTCTCTGGTTTCCCTGCAGCTACATGACCCGGGCTCTTTTGTCCTGGGAGTGCTGACTGACGGCCTGAATGGGGCCCTTTGAAGCAAGCTCCAGTTTTAATTAAGAGGGTTTGCCTCGCCCGGCCCGCTGATCTGTGAAAGCCACGGGGATAAATATTGAATGGGGTTCACCCGCTGGTTACTGCGCCCGAGGGATAAACAGGTGCTTTGGAGGGCAGATATTTGCCACGGTCCCTCCCTGCACAGTGCGGTCATATCGGGAGGAGGGGGTGTTCGGTGTCATGTCTTCTGAGGTACTGGCTATTGAAGCCCACCCTTATTGGAACGAATTCCTAGCCCCTGAAAGCTGTGGAATGAGGAGCAAATTGGCATCCAGCGAGAGGCGCCAGTGATACCTAAGCGATCCGCTGCCTGCGGCCCCTCGGTGCCCTCTGACTGGCCCCCTGGAGTGTGAGATTTCCATCTATCAGGTGTTGGCAGGGAGTAAAGCAACAGAAGCCTACCTGTGAATATTCGGAGGTGTTCAGTAACACCACTGACCTCTGTTCTGTCAATTCAAGAGGGCTTTAGCCACTGCGTACACTCACACCTGGCAGTGTCGGTATCCCAAGAAACTTATCATACCTGAGTGAACCTAGGAAACCTAAAGAAACTTGGTATACTTGTACTAAGTCAACATGGTATACCTGTAAACCTAAAGGAACTGAGTATACCTGTACTAAGTCAATATAGTGTACTTGTAAACCTAAAGGGCATTTTCACACCTAAAGTTGGTTTGATCTGGTCCAACTCAGTTGATGAGTTTGTAAACTTGTAGGTTTGGTTTGCTTTCACACAGAAAAATCAAGTGAACCAAAATGCATCATTACAAACCAGGTGAGAACGTTCACCCCTCTTACTGATCAGATTGTCTGGAGCAGGAAAGTTCTAGTTCTAGTGGAGTCGGATCGAGTTCAGAACTCTTTCACACCAAAACCAAACCACTCCAGAGTTTGTTTGGGACTGGACCGAGACCACCTCCTCAAAAGGGTCTTGGTGCGATTGTTTCGGTCCGGACCCAAGTGTGATTACTGTTTTCACACCTGCACAAACGAATTGTACCAAGGGGGAAAACGAACCAGGGTTCGGTTTAAACGGACTCAAAAAAACAGGTGTGAAAACACCCTTAGTATACCTGTACTAAGTCAACATGGTATACTTATAAACCTAAAGGAACTTAGTAAACCTTTACCCTACAGTGAACCGACACATGCCTTCCCTCACGTTACGTGTTGTCTGACGGACAAAGCGAGGGCATTGTCATTGCTGACGGCACCCAAGGAGCAGCACCAGTGAAATTGTTCTGCGCTGAAAGAACCAGTATGTTCTTGTTGCGAGAGGAGCTGGTGTCCCGTTTGCCCCTTTTGCCAGTTATCTGCATTCCTTTCCAGGGGGTGTCTGCTCTGGGCTGTGGGGCCAAGCTTGAAAGCTTGTTGTCCTGGCATCTCGGGAGGCAGGCGCGTAAAAGGATACTCTTGTGTCAGCTGTTTCCTGCTGCAGCTTTTGACAAGGGCCTCTATTCATCAGCAAGCCCTTCTACTCTGCCCCAGCCCACCCCTCCTCCCCCCTCCTGCCAATGAATAAGTAATTATTGGCCATCTTGGGGCAGGATATTTGGATGGCTCTATTTAATGTGGCAGCAGCAGGTAAGGTGATCGGGCCCAGGGCCCAGGCTGTGAAGCGTAACTGTTCCAGAGGAGAAAGGTAACTTGAACTGGTGTTGGGGCCCTGCAGCACCTCTGTTTATTTTTCACATGGGCTCAGGGCTCGTTATCCCTCTTAACTCTGAGAGATGGCTCTCTAAGGGCCCTCTCTGGCCTGTACTCCATCACACATTGTAATATTTGATGGGCAAACATGCTTGGAAAATCTGAGCTGGTGGGTAACCTGAGCCACTCGTCTGTCGTCACAAGTGCTACCTTCTGATCCCCATTGTAAGTTGCGATGCGTGACAGCACATACCATTCATTCTTACCTGGAATCATTCAGGTAATTTGCAGGGAATTTAGGGATAAACATTTTTTTCCAAGCTTGTGAATAATGTTTATTGATTATTGACAAAAATATGATCATCTCTAAAGAAAGAGGAAAGACACTTTTCACAAAAGTCTAAAGATAATACCGTGGACAAGGTGCACATATCAGTGCTGACCTTTTGGTCTGGTTCCTTTCACTGGAGGTCACCAACCTGTTGTTACTCCAATTAAAAGACAGTAATTAGTGGACAGTCTTCTCCTTTATCATCTTTACCTTCAGTCATTGTCAAAATTATTGGCACCACTGAATTTTAAGAATATCTTCTGAAATACATGCAAATGAACCAATTTTATATAACCAGGATATTTGATAAAATATTACTTATAAAACAACAACAAATAACATGTTTTCATGTAGTGAAATAAAATATACAGTCAGACACAATTATTGGCACCTTTTTATGAATATAAATGAAAACAAACGAGACTTATCTCATTAAACTCGACTCTGACAGTTATGAATCACTACATCAAGATTCAGTTCACGTCTGTTGTTGGGCAAGAAGCCAGAAATACTACAGTTGTTAGTGGTAGCTAGTAAATTAATCATTAAAATAAATTAAGATGTGAAAATGAGCTGAGCAGCAGAAGATATTGATTGATTGATTGCGATCAGATGGATCAACAATAACTGAGATGCCTTTTTATGATGTCCGACATGTTTTCACTAAATAAATTTGTCAAAATAAACACAAAACAGAGATAAAAATTTGGATTCTTTAGCGTTGGAGCTTAAAGAATCCAGATGTTTTACTGATCAGGAACTTGATCCTACCTGTCGGCCACTGAAAATACTTGGATTTTTAGAACAGAATGTCTATGTAATTAATTTTTTCTTTTTACAAAAATGTACTGATTACTGTTATTTCCTCTAAATTAGGGTCTTTTGTAACAAACATTGTGCAGGAAATGAAAACTGAAGAAAAAGATATAAGCTTAAGTTAAATGGCTAAACTAGTGAAACCAGTGTAAATTATCAATATTAATTCTGCTGCTGCTTCTACTATTGATATTGATTTATTTTAGACTTAAAGATCTTCAATAATATTATACTTCCAGTTCTGGATTGGAGGAGCCAGTGATTGGATGATGCATGTGAGCCACTGAACAGTCAAAGAGTACACCACTTAAAAGAGCTCAACACATAAGCAGGATCAGTTTCATAAATGGTGCCGGCTACACTTAACCTGTGAGCGGGAGGAAAAAAGACTCCACCACGTCACTGGACGGCTAATTATGAAGCAGCTACGTTTTCCCAGCCACCACAATGGTTTCGCCTATCAACTTTCATACGGAGAAAAGGTCATCTGCTGCAGAGAGACCGCACGCCTGATCTATGGACACCCGTTCTTTATACTTCACTGTGTGTTTTCTAAAAGAGACAAACAGGACAAGTCTTTCAGAAAGTGTATTGAGACAATAGGTAATGGTGATGAGTTGGTAATGCTTTGAATCCTAAAACACTGAGAGGCTATGAATGCCATGTAGATGTGTGCAAGCTTTGTGGTCAAAGCTCAATGCAGCCTGCTAATGTCAACAAACTTAGAGTGGCAATAGTTATAATAATAATATAAAAAAAGAGTTATCAGAGAATGACATCAGTTCTTATAACAGACAGCAGAAGTCAGATCTTTGTGTCGTCTCAAAGCTGAATCCTTTCTGTTGGACCTGAAGTTAAGTTGGTGTCCAACCACTTGCCGCTCTCCAATGAGGGGCGCTCCCTGAGACACAACAGTTGCCCCAGTAACGAGGGTGTGACGGCAGCTGATCAGTTGTTCTAGCGACTTCGCTCCAAAGATGGATGGAGCAGAGCTTTCAGGCTGAAGATCTTTATAAGCAGGCAAATGTTGACTGTACAGCTGTTGCTGACTTCCCTGTCTGACTGTGAGTCTGCCAGTTTCTCTGAAGGCCTATTCCCCCACCCACTGGGTTGGATGAAGAAATGAAATCAGAGGAGCAATAAATAAGAACAATGCAGATTTCTTTCTTGTTCAGTAAATTTCTGATATCAATCAGCCTGGTGGGCTGCTGTCCTCCTTGCTCCTCAGACTAGTTCTGGTTCTGAAATCTAACTTTCAACATTTGTTTCTTCTTCTCTGTCCAGCCCCTGGAGCCCTGCTCCTGGTGCCCGTGTGCTTCAGCCAAAGAGAGCGTCAAGGACAAGGACAAGGACAAAGACAAAGACGGCAAAAAGAAGATGCCTAAGATCTTCTTCGGAACCCGCACTCATAAACAGATCACCCAGATCGCCCACGAGCTGAAACGCACCGTGTACTCCAGCGTGCCGATGACCATCTTGTCAAGCAGAGATCACACCTGCATCAACCCGGAAGTGGCGCCTCATTCCAACCGCAACGAACGCTGCAAGGACCTGCTGGAGGGCAAGGATGTGAGGATGAACACTGACAAACACACACACATCATTATTATTCACATAAATAATTGAAATCAAAGAGTCACATCCTGTAGGTTTTAAAGGTGGATGTCTGGATCAATAAGTGCAGTAGACGCAGGTATTTATCGGCTCCGATCAGCATTGATGTAAACACAACACCTGGGTGAAGACGTTAATTTTCAACCCTTTTCTGAGCTGTGATGTCGTTCAGACCACAAACACACCTGTCACCTGTCCAGCACGGTGCTGAGTACACTGAGCTTGGTGATGAAAGAGTGAGTTGCAGCCCTGAAATAGGTTTTAAAAACACAGCCATCGATCGAAGCGTCCATTTTACCAGTTTGCACGGCGTTTGTGTGCGTGCGTGCGTGCGTGCGTGCGTGCGTGCGTGCGTGCGTGCGTACGTGCGTACGGGCTCTGTAACTGCATGTGGTGACATCGTGTGTGTTGTCTCCGGCAAACTTGGCCGGCAGTGTAAAAGGAGTCAACCGTCTTTTCAGCAAGTTTACCTACGTTTAAAAAAAACTTGCTTATACTCACTAATTTTGGTGTAAACGGGGTATAACTTGACCACACACCATCACGTACTGTGAAACGACCTTTACTACAGGGATTTTCTGTCACCCTGTAACACAGACTGTAAGGTAACTGCTACCAGACAAATTTCCTTCAATAATGTCGCCTGAGAGCAGCAATTATCCTGCTACAATATCCACAATTGTTGCAGCAGAGTCTTTCGAACACACTGAAATGTCAAGGACCATTTTCTTTTTTAGAAACATGAGACACTTGTAACCCCTCATACTGTCCTAAAGTTGAGGCGCCTACTGTAATGAGGACAATTAAGCTGTCAGTGGAGGTGTTGTCTAACTTAGTCGTATGAAATAACTGGCCTGGTTCTAACCCCTCGCCGGAGTGAGATGTCAGTGATGCTCTGTGTCGTCGTCACCTCGGGGTCTAGTCTAGTCCGTGTCGGGTTACCGTGCTGTACAGACACAAAGTGATTCATACACATTGATAAGCTAATGGAGGCTTCAGTCAAAACACCTGCCCTCCCTCCGTTTTAACGCCTGACTTTCTTAAACTAACCGCGCTGCTCGTTAATCCCCCAACTCCCCTTTCACCGAGCAGACGGGACTCAGTGTCGGCGCAGCGTCCGAGTTCAGCGCGCCATTGTGAGAAGCAGACCACCTCATTCAGAGGTTATTATTGTGTCTGGAGGTCGCAGAGTCCACCGGTGTACAGTGTTTGTGTGACAGTGTCACCTCAAGCTGTTGGACTCATAAAGAGCAGGGTGGGACGTCTGAAGCGGGCACCTCAGCTGACAGAGTAATTGGGGCTCGGTACATGAGCTGCTGCTTCTTTACACGTCTTTTTCATTCACTGTGTGAGTGTCAGGACATGAGAACCACGACAATACCTGCAACACCTGATCACAGGCAGGTCTCTAAAGTACTGTGTCAACTCTGGTAACTGGGGGAAGAAAGTCTAATGTCACATATTTTAAACTGACAAATAAAAAGGAAGATGGAGTCTGAAGATTTCACTATACTAATAATGTTTTTTATTTTAAATCAAAGTTGCTATTAGTTGATAATTTCTAAAAATGTAAAAGCCTTCAGTGTTTCCCTTTATATTATTCTTGGCCGCTGTCCATCAAACCTGTCACTGAGTCAGACGACAATTTTATTCACTTAATCGTTATGAGTCTTTTAGTTGTCACTTTAAGGTTCTCACATGTGAATATTTACTATTATTAGTCACTGATGGTTGTAAACTCAGTGTATGTGAGAGGCTCCTTGTATACTTGCAAATATATGGCGGGAACTCCCTGATTCAAGATCTGAGGATTTATTTTATTATAGTTTTAGTTTCCTAGCTGCACATTATTTGTAAACTTTGTTCTAATTAATTTTTACTCATATTTGGGGCATTTCATCCAATTCAGTTTTTCTGGTTTCTCTTTTTAAAGTGTGATGTGGTTTTGTTTGAATCTTTGGTTTCCTCTGTAAAGCACTTTAACATGGTTTCAAAAGGTGCTTAATAGATGAAGTGTATTATTATTATTATTATACTTTGATCTAATTCTCTCCTCTCTATAAATGTGTATTACAGGGCAGGTCGTGCCGGTTTTACCATGGGGTGCAGAGGATGCGGGACCACCAAAGTCTCCGGGCCAGTGGACTGCGTGAAGCCTGGGACATCGAGGACCTGGTGTCTCTGGGCAAACGGCTCCGCTCGTGCTCGTACTACGCTGCTCGTGAACTGATGCAGAGCGCCGCCATCATCTTCTGCCCGTACAACTACCTGCTGGACCCGATGATCAGAGAGAGTGTGAGGACACTTCAGTGTTCAGAGATACAGTCACAGTTTATACGGCGTGTAGGGATTAAATCCTCTTCCTTCTTTTCTTTCTCCATCTCCCTCAGATGGAGATCGACCTGGCGGGTCAGATCCTGGTGCTGGACGAAGCCCACAACATCGAGGACTGTGCGAGGGAGAGCGCCAGCTACACGTTAGACCGCAACAACCTGCTGACGTGCAAGGATGAGCTGGACAGCATGATCAAGAACAAAATCAGAGCTTCCAAACACGAACCGCTCAGAAACTTCTGCTACAGCCTGATCAAGTCAGTCACTTAGAGATTCAATACCTCACTTGTGCATAGGGATGGGCACCAAAACCCAGAATTAAACCAGCTCCAGGGATACATTTTTAAAGGCCGGAGTATCGATCCAACTTTATCGGTTCTGCTCTCGGTACTTGAGAAATTAAGAAAATCGATTTCCCGTTTGTTTTTGTGACATAAAACCAACTGATTCTGTTGAAGACTTTCGTCTATGAATGATGCATTTTCACCGTTCCTAATCCAGAGGAGAAACTTCTCTCAGACACACAGAGATCTGAGGGTTTCTCTTAGAGTCCACGGCGGAGAGAGCTGAACGTTTTGAAGTGTGGTTCAGTCTTTTACACGTTAGAGCGGAAACACGAGCGATCTCTGGAAACGTCCAAGAGAAAGTCCGTCACACACAGTTTTCAACGGACTAGCTCGTATTTTACCCGTCGCTGCGTCAGGTGTGTTTTAATGTTAATCGAGAACATGAGAATATAAGCAATGTTAATTCTGTTCTTTGTTTGTTTTGTTTTTTTCTCCTACAAAATGACAAAAAGCACCGATAAGAGAACCGTTAAAGCACCGGATCGATAAGTAAAAGTTAAAGTCTTTACCCATTCCTCCTTGTGCACATCTGTGGTTCATGATTCCAGTAGATATTTACTCATCGTGTCTCTTGGTGCAGCTGGATCCAGGAGAGCCAGGGCCTGCTGAGTGAGAGAGGATACGAGACGGCGAGTAAAGTCTGGAATGGGAAGGACATCCTGGGAATCTTTCACGAGCTGGGCATCACTGCAGGCACCTTTAATCTTCTGAAGGTAACACCCTCCAAATGTCTCTGCTCTACGTGTAGACTATTCATGTTTACCACACCCATACACATTCTAGCATGACTTCATTAGCTTCAGTTGATCTGATGCATGTTGTGAATTGCATTATTTTTAGCAGTTAGCAGTTAGCAGCTCCGCTTCACTGTAGAATGAGCGTAGTTCAAATGTCCAGTCCAACCCTCACCTGTCTGATGAGTGTGAGTCCTCGAGGGCAGTTTACTGAAATCTGTAGCTTGTTTCCTGTTAGTAAGTAAAATCTGACTTTTGGCACAAATCTACATATTTGGAAATTATCATCACACATCACAAGACAAACAAGTACATATAGAGCTGCTCCCTCTGGCTAACGTGATGGTTTTAAAGCTCCGCGGTGGCGACAGCTGTGTCCAGAGGTTCTATGCTTTCAGGTTGTTCGTCCGCCTGTCTCATTCTCACGAGCAAGATATCTCAGTAACACCTTGAGGGAGTTTCTTCAGATTTCATACAAACGTTCTTTTGGACTCAAGGAAGAACTGATAAGATTTTGGTGGTCAAAGGTCAAAGGTCAAGGCCACAGTGATGTTACAAAACATGGGTTTGGCTCCTTGATTGTGATATCTCAGGAGCACCGAGAGAAAATCTCTTTTTTGGCATAATTTGGCACAAACGTTCACGTTTACTGATTAGAATTTGGAGGTCAAAGGTCACTGCCATAACTACAAACAAGTCCTCCCCCAGCTTTTTCACTTTCATCGTTTTCAGTAAAATCACTTTGTCATTGATGGGAAAAGGAAAAAGAAGCAGCTGGGTCTCATTTATTTATGTGATATTTGTGATTTGTCGCGTGTTGTTATTTGTTGTCAGACGTTCTGTTTTGTTCTCCCGTGTCGTCTGTCGTGTTTCTGTGTGACAGCAAAACCTGGCGGCAGTGCTGGAGAAGGAGGAGCGTGTTGGTTTGGTTAATGGTAAAGAGGACATGGTGCAGGTCCCAGTCATCAGCTCCGCTTCCTCCACTGTCCTCAAAAACCTCTTCATGGTTCTGGATTTCCTCTTCAGGGACAACTGCAGGTCAGAGACGACTCGGAGTCATGCTGGTGCTTCAGATAAACCGTCATGTGGTTTATAGAATTGAGCGGTTGCTTTGTTGCGCTGCGTGTCTCTGCAGGTTTGCCGAGGACTACCGTGTAGCTCTGCAGAGGACCTACGCCTGGTCGAACCAGCTCCCACCTGATGCCCCCGACGCTCAGGGCTTTTTGGTGCGGCCTCGATACAGACAGCGCCAGAGCGCCCGAGTGAAGACTGAAGTCCTGACGCTCAGCTTCTGGTGCCTCAACCCGGCTGTGGTAAGAGGTTAGATGTGGCAGACTCCACCATGCAGGCCACAGTGATGGCTCTGAATAGGAAATATGTAATTTCCAGGTTCTTCAGCCTCCACTGAGCCACCGTGCTTTATGTTATATACAGTATTTTTATTGACGCTTCATTCTGTCTGTGTCTGTGTCTCCCAGGCTTTCTCTGACCTGAGCGGGTCGGTGCACAGCATCGTGCTCACATCTGGAACCCTGTCACCCATGGGCTCCTTCTCCTCTGAACTCGGGGTGAAGTTCTCCATCCAGCTGGAGGCCAATCACGTCATCAACAAGTCCCAGGTCGGTATCTCGTGTCGTCGAGCCTCAGGGAACACCGAACGCTTGATTCCAGGTTATAATCCCAATTAGATGATGTGACTCTTAATTGTGATTTGATGTTAAAACCTCCCTCCGTTCTCCTCGGGACTCATTGAAATCTTCCTGAAACCTGCATCTGAGAAAGAGTTGTATAGTTGTCTTCGTCAACACGAGGTCCGGCAGGTTTCCAGAGAGTCATTAAAAAGTCTTCAAAATTTAAATAAGGGAAAATAAGGTCTGAGAATGTCTCTTATTTACTGTAAAGTTGTTGTAGGTATTAAATTTGCAGATGGCGTGTTTAAGAAAAAACCAAAGCCAAGAATAATTATGGCGGTTGCGGTTTCATGTCACTTCTTCCACACTGCTGTTGCTTTGTTAACAGACACAAATTTATTTTTAAGACGTGGTTGTGCCGACACACTAGGTGGCGCTAACCTAATAGTTTGACATAAAACACTAAAAATATGTTGTTTTCCTTCTGATCATCTAAAGATTAATATGAAATTCTGTTGTGGGATTTAGAAAATGTTTAGCAGTAATAGGAGTTGATAGTTATTTCTACCAACATGCAAAACGAATGGTGTGGTTCTTTTGATATTCTCCTCCTGAGATTCTCCTCTGCCTCTATTTTAAAACATCGTTTACAGGAGAACAAGAAACAAAAGAATAAAAGAATTTAGATTTATCGAGGTCTTAAAAAGCATCGATTTAGATGTGTAAAATGGTGCAGGATCCCTGGTCCAGGTCTTTAAAAGTTCAACTAGAGTAGAAATGTCTGTGAGCCCTGATTGTTTCAGCAGGTTGAACCCAGACATTAAATCTGAGGGTGTAGAAACCAATCTGAAACTGTGGCCAGTGGTTTGTTCCACATCTGTATAGGTGCCACTTTTGTCCAGCAGATGTCACAGTCTAACTACTGGAGAGAAATTAAACTCATCTGCAGGCCTGGTCTAATGGAGCTGTTCAGGGGTTTAATCAATAATCACCACATTTACATCACTCCAGTGACTAATGCTAGAGGTGACATTAAATACGTTGCAGATTATGTCACATAACAACTGGTTTGTTGGACTTAGACATGTTTGGTCTTGGTCACCGCTCAGGTTGTGTGCATGAGAATATTTATGATATGAAAGTATATTGGTGATTTCAACCTTCTCTTCAGGTTTGGGTGGGAACCATTGGTGCAGGACCGCAAGGCAGAAAACTCTGCGCCACCTTCCAGCACACTGAAACCTACACCTTCCAGGACGAGGTGGGGGCCCTGCTGCTCCACATCTGCCAGGTCGTGGCCAAAGGTGTGCTCTGCTTCTTGCCGTCCTACAAGGTAAATACACGACTAAAACACACTCCGCTGAGACAGGAAACAGTCACACATCTGTCACATGTTCTTCATCACAGGGTCAGGTATTTGTGGTGTGCGGTACAGAAGAGTCCAGGTTTACAAATCACATCATACAACAAAACAATTAACAATTCAAACTCCTACAAAATAAATGTGTATAAAACACTTTTTTGCACATGTGAAATTAATGTGAAAACATGTTAAAATCACACGTGAAATGTGAGCGTGTGAGGTTTCGGAACATTTCTGTGGTGTAACGTGTGAAGCCGATGGGATTACATGTATAAACCCATGTACACAGTATGTTGTTCGTCAGCTCTCACATTACTGCACTCCTTCAAAACGTTACGGTGAAACTTTAACTTTAAAAATCTGCAGTATTTGTGACACGTTACAACATGCGGTAACATGTTTTCCACATATGGTACCATGTGACACGTGATCAAATGTAGGAAACACATGTGGAAAACATGTGGAAAACATGGGAAATTCATGTGGTTTTTCTGAGGGTGGAAAACTCTGGATGCAGCTTACCACTCAAGATGAACAGATGCTAATAGAAGTAAGAAAATAAGATAAAATATACTAATAATAATCATAATATTACTACACTAATAAAATAAATAGAGATAAAAAGGAAATGTATTTACAATTTGTGTGTTTACAAGTACAAGTACAGTAGTAATGTAGGTTGTCCACAGCAGGAAAGTGTCTGCAGTTTTTAGCCAGTGCAACAATCAGTTTGTTGTTTTAACCTTTAATTTGTTGAATCAAATGTTTGATTTGATCTTTTTTTAATCTGTTTTAAGTGAAATGTGCAAAACAAGTTTCATTAATCAGACTCAGATTCCTTCTCTGTTTTCAGAGTAAATAGAGGCTTTAACTAGTGTGAATATAGTGTTCCTAATAAAGTGCTCACTGAGTCTACATCATGAGAGGAGTGGTGATCACATCGTCTTAGAACATCTTTACTTTCTCCTTGATCTTATTGTCATTGACACTCAGTATTAATGCCATTGTATTGAAGTGGTGCTGTTGGACCGTGCACTTCCACGTGTCACCACTGGGGGGCGCTGGAGACCGCAAACTGGAGAACCGTCCAGTGCTTTTGTTGTTTGAAGGTATTTGTATTAACTTCAGTTTTCAAAGCCTCCGCTGGATCCCAGCAGATCCCAGTGTGACGAGCTCGGCCTCCGCTGGTGTCGTGTGTCTCAATAGATCACCGCTGATCAATACAGGCGGTTGTCAGGTTCTTGTTAAGTGCCGTCATCCTCGCAGAAGTGGATCCTCTTTCAGTTAATGAGAGCACACTCGTAGACACTTTGTCCCCCTTTGTTTGTTGTGCGTTTTTGTTGATGAATAATTTACGTGCGCTGCAGCTCACTTGTCACATCAGCTCACAGCGGGGGAAAGTGGATTTCATTTATCATTGTGCGTTTGTCCACACTGCACATGTTACATGTGACTTCGCTCAGTTCAGCAATTTGGTTAATTAACACACTGACAGTGGGAAACTCCAGAGTGAGAGTTTAAAGTCAGTATGAAAATAAATCACTTAAAATCTTTATATTATCATAATGCAGCGGTTCTCTGTTTTTTATTTAACGTGAAGTGTTTTCTACGTTTATCTTCATCCCGTTATAACCCTGTTTTTATTTGAATAGTAATTAAAATGTTTTTTAAAAGGAAAGAGAAGAGAAAATTAAATCAGGGTTAGGGTTCAGGTGGCACATGTTGTTTTTTAATGATGTCAGATTGTCTTTGGGGGACTGTGCCGCCATGTTGGAAACCACTCACATAATGAGTGGTTAAACCCATTAAACAATAAAAGCAGAGACTTTTAACCATTTTTACTTTCATGGTGAAGAATTCTCTGCTTCTTGTTACATAAATAATATGTTTTAAATCCCTGAAGTCTCACTCTGCTCGTTGTTTCTGAGCCAGATCTTTATATTATAACGCAGCGCTTCTGTTTTTGACTTCCAGCCCTTTAAAAATGAAGCTTTCTCCACTTTTATCACTGGTTGTGATGTTTGTGCATCGATTATCACCAGTTTAACTGATTCATTTATTTCCTCTTCTTTTTATTTGAATAGTTTTTAGAGGTAAAAATAGTAATTTACAGTAAAGAAGGAAATAGTTGAATAGCATATGTTCTTTTTTTAATGTTTTTCTATATATATATATATACATGTTTGGAACATATATATATATATATATATATATATATATATATATATATATAAAACGCTGTTATAATTTATATCCATTAAACAATAAAAGCAGAGACATGGTGAAGAATTCTCTGCTTCTTGTTACATAAATAATATCTTCAAATCCCTGAGTTCTTACTCGTTGTTTCTGAGCTCCTTCACACCAGCAAAAATACTATATATGTAAATAATATTCAATTCATAGAAATACATTTCAATCATTTTCTAGCCTTGAATCATCCACAGCTTCTCCAGAAATATATCTTACACCCCTTTTTATCATGTAAAATCTTCAGTTGTACATTGTGATAAATGTTAGAGCAGTGAAAGCTTGTCTCCTGCTCTCTGTCGTTGTGTCTCAGCAGCCAAGTGTGAGTGTTTGAAGCTCACGGTTGTTATATATGAGCTATCACCTGCTGTATTGTTCCACACTCACATCCTGCATCAGCTGCGGAGACATGTTATCATGGAAGCCAGACACTGATCCACTGCTGTGCTCTGATGAGTCAGTGTCATTTTCATTGGACACGTCAAACGCTGAAACCTTTACAGTTGTGTTTTGCCCTCGGCAAATTTAGTTTTTGCCTTTGGCGTGCGAGCGCAGTCCGTGTTTGACTTGTGTTTCATGATGTCACACGCTGTGATCGGCGGTTTGGTTCCTCCGCAGCCCGTGTTGGCTCGCTATCCAGTTGCCCTCTCGAAGCAGCTGATGACGCCGCCGTCATCCAAACTGTGAGGGAAAGCTAAGAAGACCCGGGGCCTGGTTGTTTTCTCGTTTTACCTTCCTTTCTGTCGGCCTGCGATGCCAGCCGAGCAGCGACGACGAGCTGAGGGATGTTTTTTTATTAATGATAGCCGTGTAGGAGTCTTCTGTCTCTCTCTCTGCTGATGCATAAATATTTAATCTGCAGCCAGCTCTTAAAGATGAGGAGATGAGGGGATATGAAGGGCTGGGGTATTAATTGGAGCCCGTGGAGGCCTCGTTGGTGCCGCTGAGTCCCGTCTGCTCTGTGATCTGTGTGTTTGTGTGTGTGCGGGCTACACCGAGAGGATAGGTCATCTCCAGACGTCCCTGTTCAGTGTGTCTAGGTGATGGCTATCAGCCCCTCGTACACAACGGAGGAGGGAGCGGTGAGGAGAGCAGGCGTGCGGGGTCAGAGAGGTGTCTCTTAAAGCTCTGCTCACTGCTCTCACACACAAACACAAATACACAAAGTCAGAAATACACAGCAGGAAGCTCCGTCTCTCTTTCCAGCTCCATCAGAGTCTTTTATTTTTTCCTTTATTTGGAATCGGTCTTCTTTGTTAACTCCGTTTACAGAGTGATCCATCTTCTCAGTTTGTTTGTTTCACAATGCAATTATGAAAATAAAGAGAACAGGAAAACAGAGCGTTGAGATAAAAAAAAAAATATTAATAAAATAATAATAATAAATAGACAAAAAAAAAAATTAAATCGACAAGCTTAAACAAAAGAAAGGTGTTTCAGGGAAATGTACGTCCTTCCAGACGTCCTCACATTGGAGGACATTACATTTCCATCACTTCATGAGTGATCGACCGGTCCTCTATAGACGGGGCGTCCGGCTCAAACTGTTTCTATGTGATTGCTTTTTGTAGCAGCTACACTTCATTCTTCAAATAAATATTGTGTTTTAATGCTTGTAGATGTCGAGTTCGTCCCAGTTAAATGACGTGTTTGTCCCAAATATGATCACTACATGGGAATAAATGTTACTCCAAAAAGTATTTACTTTTGAACCGAAACATGTGAGAATGAGTCGCTTCCTGGGAGCCACAGTCTTTTCAGTATTTAAGTTTCTGTAGCTGTGGTTTTCATTTCCAGGCAACTACAGTCAAATAAATGCAAAGAAAACTCAGGAGAGTGTTGGGCATTAGCGCACAGCTCAATACATTTCTTTTTTAAGACACATGGACACACAAAGTATGCTCACACACACACACACACACACACACACTCCTGCACCAGTGCTGTGGTTTTGTAGCACTTTAGCCTCAACATCCCCCCAGTTAATGCCCATTAAAACCACAGCGGGCCCTGCCGTCTGGTCCCAGCCGCCAGAGGAACGGACCGGTGCTCCACAGGAGAGAGGGGGACTGATGGTTTATTAAAAAAAAAAAAAAAAAAAAAAGCAGAAGTGGCAGCAAAAAAATGGCAGGGACTACAAGATGCTTTTAAAGGAGATTGAGATAAGGGCCATTAGGTGATGTCGCCTCGCTGTCTGTGTGAAGACGCACCCAGCGCTGGCGCCTGGTCTCTGCCGAGCGCGTGTCAAATCAAAGTCAAAGCGGACCGCGGGGTGAACACCCACCAGCACGCACCGTCCTCAGCAGCTCAGGGCTATCGAAGCACCAATCACACAGCTCCTCAAGTACTGTTATCTCAGAGCGAGACTGTTTCTGTCTGCGTCTGGGAGCATATTAGATTCATGGGTCAATTTGCTCAGTGTGGCATATACTTCCTGATTCTTTCTCAGAGCCGAGGTGATGTTTTATATGAGTTTTTACAGTGGAAACTTGAGGGTTACTGCTGTTCGACTGAGCTGCCTCACATTTTCAGACTTTGGATACCTCCTCCTTCAACCACACTTCTGTCTGCAGAGCTGCAGTGATTCATCTGTGGGTTATTAATCACTAAATCGTTTAATTTAAAAAAAGAATTCTCAGAAAACAGTGAAAAAATTTGCAGGATTTTATCTTTAAATTTCTTCTTTCATTCGACCAACAGTCAGAAAAAAGACTAAAACT